GAAATTTTGTGTTAAACTACCAAGATGACTTTGGTCACATGAACGGAGTGCGGTCCCGTGCAAAACAATCGAAGAAACATGCACTTGATGTGATCGGCATTACATGTGTGTGGATAGCTGACCCATTTGCCTCTAACCCATGCCCGTGACCTTGCGACATCGCCCACAATGCTAGCCTAACCTGACTCACACCTACTCTATCGGTTCGCATTTGTTTATGGACTGACTGACGCGCTTAGCCGCAATGCATTTGTGACCTGTGTGGCTCACCCTCATATCTCTCATGCGCTCCCAGCACAACCGATCGCCACCCGCTGCCACCAGTTGCCTTATGCCATCGCTGGCGGCCACCTGACGTTGTCATTTGCACCGGGCACGAAATTTTTCAGAAATTTTTATGAACGTCAAGGCAATTTTCATGAATCTCGAAGCATTCTTTTGCACAAAAACGTTCAAACTCAATTTTAAAGACATTCAGAACTTCGAATTCAACAAACTTACATTCAAACTAATTAACTCGACGAGATAAACTTAATGATGTTAAAATTGATAAAATCCAAGTCAAATCAAGCCCAAAGCGAGTTGTTAAATTAATATGGGAAGCTTTTGGTAGTCAATTTGGGGGTCAAATGAATTCCAATCTGATGACTTCGTAGTCAAATCAAGCGTCTCAATGAAATGAACTCAACAAGCATGAGATCACTCAAGTCTAACATCATTAAGACACTCAAATGTCTGTAAAATATCATCAAATCAAATAAATCACTTTATGTTATCCAATAGAGTGATACAGATTTTTGCATTGTTTACGGATGAGGCATTTCTTAAAATTTATTAATAGAGCTCCATTTTCTTCTTTAAATAAGTCAAGTTTTAGTGACGCTATGGTCCAAAGCCCCAACGAATACTTTCTCCTCTCGTAACCACCATCACTAACACTTCCTAATGTTTCGGAAGTCTGTCACTATCGTCCACTGCTCGTTGGACATCTTCAACCACCATCGGTTGCCTCCTGCTTATAACCATCAATGGATCTTACAAAGTAATGACGCACATTGCAACTAAGCACCTTATAGAGTCACAATGTATGCTATTGTGTAACAACACACCCAAAAGATGGTTTAACAATACACGGTGAATACGGTGTAACGACACACATTGATCCCAGTGAACAAAATACCCCCAATACGAGGTAACAAATAACGTAATTTTGAAGATCTAACAATAGCTCTTGATGTCAACGATGTGCGACCAACATACTTAGGATACAATAAAATTTATTTAGTCTTGAAGTTCTCTTTGTGCATCTCTCAACTTTGGCCCATGTGACTTATGAATATTATTGCAGCTCCTAAATCCGACATCTATGCCTTGTGAACGTTATCTAGCTCATCACAATGATCTATGTGACAAACTAGTCCTACATGACTCAAAACATGCATTTCCCAACTTCAATCTTTGTGGCCTAAAAATATTATCATAAATCACAATTACACCATATATGACCAACTATGACCTACATGACTTGCAACACACGTGGCTCCAAACTCCAGTTGTGTGACCTACAAACGTTATTGCAACTCACAGCTATATCATGTATGACCAACTGAGACCTACATTGCTTACAACTCACACAACCTCTAACTTCAACATATGCAATCTACAAATAACTCCCAACTCTGGCCTATATGGCTTACATGCATTATCACAGTTCACCACTACGACCCCATGTGACCAACTAAAACTTATATAGTTCATAGTTCATGCAACTCTCAACTTTGGCATTTGCGACATACATACATTAGTGCAACTCCCTATTATGACATAGGCGACCGACTGTTGTCACCACAAGCCCCCCTGCTACGACATATGTGGCAAACTGATGCTATCTCATCTCATCAACAACGACCCACACAACTCACAACTTATGTAGCTTTCATCTAGTACCTTTGTGACTTATTGTTATTGCTGCTTCCAATGAAAGTTTTGGCAATCAATCGACACTATTACAACTCTCCACCATAGCCTTTTGCGGCCAAGTGCCAACTAACAATCCCGAGGCTGTCAGCAATAGCCTGCACAACCAACTACCATTACGATTTTCAACTGCGGCTTTTACGACAAACAGAGGCTATTACAACCACCGAGAACTTTATTTTTTGTAACCAAAATAGGACAATTAAAGTCAGAGCATATAATACCTCTACAGTTCAATATTTTCCTAATTGAGTAGAAGAGCAAACATATGTCCTCATAATTACATATGAAGTACATAAAAACCCCCTCTATAAGCTAATAATAAGGAAACTGACCTGTAATTTTGTAGCCTATAAATATGAGGTCCATAACATGAATAAATGTTACTTATTCTTGTAATTCTCTACTACACTTTCTCTCTCGACTCTCTCTGCAGAACGTTCTATATTTTAGGTATGTTTTCCGAATATTTTCAAATTCAACATTATCTAAATCTTCTTTAAATATTTTATTATATCAAATTAAAAAAAAAAGGAAGACAAAATCTTAAGAAGTGAAATAATAGTTAAAATAAATTTTAGAAAATCAAAGAAAATTTAGTTGGCAACATCCGACAAAGAATAAAACAAGCAGATTTATTAATTAATTAATTATTATTTTTTTTGTTCATCTCTTATTGCTGTTTAAATAAATCAATAATTGTCAGGAAAATGCCAAAAGTAGACCAGAGCCAGAGGGAAGAATCTCATGGAGCTCACTGTCAACTCAAGCATCCAATGAACCCTAAAACTGCAAACAATTATATATATATATATA